CCCCCCACATGCGCAGAAATCTCCTCGGGCCAAAAGCATCAGGCTAATTGACCGAATTCGTTCGTGTAGCAAAACGTTAGCCACCCCAGATCAGGCGGCTAGCGACTCCGTGTTCAATAATTCTTATCTAAAGTGCAAAATGACCAAATCCAATCAACTTCAGAAATCCTGAATTCCAGATATATCCTGAAAATCGCCACCTCTGATATTATAACCACCCATCTGAATTTTCAAAAGAACATTTTTTTTTTCAAGGTTACATACTTCGCTGCCTTTCTGTCAGCTGTTTTAATTCAAACTGACGCTCAGCATCTTCTTTCATCTTTTCAGTTTCATTCAGACTGGGTCTGTAAAGAGAAAAAGAGTAAGATTAATACAATTGCACAAAATGAAAACGCTAACATGAAGTGCAATGTCACTGTATGTCGTATCATGTAAAAAATAAAGAGACATTTCATTCCTGGATTTCTCATACATTAGTGCTTTCTATTTTGCTACCTCAATCTTTCATGTATTCATGTATTTCATATATTCACAAACAGCCAGCATCTGTGGTGAAGCGGTTGAGCGCTTTCACGGTTGAGCACTTCACTGGTCACACATAAGAGACCCAAGTTCAAATCCCGAGCAGGGATAGAATTTTTATAGAATATATTTCTACTGGGATATTATATATCCCCTCTCAGCCCCCGTTGGCCCTGATTAGGCAGATCCAGAAGCCTGCCTCCTAAATGACCTTAGTTTTAGTTTTAGTAGAGGTTTTACGGCACTCGCAACTGCATAAGGTCATATGAGCGTCTGAAGATTAGAGGTGTTACAAGAGAGTAACAAACATAAAAAAGAAGGGGAGATAAGGACGATAGATGTTTCATTGATGGGAAAGAAGAAGCAAACCACACCAGAGCACCCACCAACCACCCACTAAATGACCTTAAGTGTGTACATTGGGGTATAAAATAAAACACCTTTAAAAAAAGAGAAAAAAAATTCTAAAAATTTTACTCACACACACAGAACCTAGGTATAGAGGACAGAGACAGTGTTGTATTGCCATAACAATAAAATAAATATTCAATAACATGTTTTTAGACAAGTTATCTATAAAAGAAACAAGAGATCCATTCACTCACTTTGAAGCTTGTACATAAAAGGGAAGCATTCACACAAGCATAAGATAAGATAAGGTAAAGTTATAATACTTTATTGTCCCTGTGGGAAATTTTCTGCATCTTTGTAGGAATGGTTAAAATACATGAAGAATATACAGTCAAACCTGTGTAAGACGGCCACCCATTGTCAAGGAGAAAAGTGGCCGTATAAGACAGGTGGCCGTCTTAGGCAGGACTGATCAAGATGAAGAAAACAAACTATTCCCATCTGAGGTCCCAATCGAAAGTAGCCGCATTGTTGATGTTTTTGTTGTTGTTGTGTTTGTTGTTGTAATTGGTTTGTATTTCGTTTGTTAATTTTATTTTGTTGCTGATTTTGCTCAAGGGTGACAATAAAGCGAAATGTATCAGACGATAAGACCGAGTGCCATGTCAAAACAAACACATGGGTCGCCACCACTTGGAAAACGAGCGACGCTTCTGTCACAAGTTCATGTTGACGTCCTTTGTTACTTTGTTACAGACTGGGTAAACAGTGACCACTCATCTCACTTACGATTTGTGTATGAGTTATGGGAGGGGCTATGGTTTATGAGGGATCACACGCTTACCTCACCAGCAGCTGAAAATTGGTACCTATTGGTCAACAGTGGGAGGGGTCTACGCAACATGATCGGTAGGAGGGACTACCAAAAAAGTAACATCGACAGGTGATTGAATTATGACGGCTCGCCCACAACGCCAGGGGCCAATGCACAATTTATGACAAAACGTAATGGAGTCACTAAGGTGGCCGTCTTAGACAGGTGTTATTGCTTAGTATGATAGGGGTTGTGTGTTAAAATATGGTGGCCGCGGCCGCGTTGGACAGGTGCCCGTTTTACACAGTTAAATTATATAGAAAAAACGCAAGGGGGGAAATGGAAAGTGGCCGTCTGTACAGGTGACCGTCTTATAGAGGTGGCCATCGGGGCAGGTTTGACTGTACTGTGAAAAACAAAATAAAAGTAGTGATAAGGGAAGTATTAACAGCAAGGAAATATCTGTTAAACAACTTACTGTAGTTCAATGTCTTTTTTCGTGTTGCACTTGGCACAAACTTGAGCATCTGTAGCACATGGTTGACATACAATGTAGTATGCTCGTTTCACAGTTTTTCCTTTACACCGCACACTGCATAAAAAATAATCAGACAATAGTCAATAAACAATAGCAACAGGTAATCATCTTAACACAAATTCATTATGCAAAACTTCATTAGAAACAAGTCAACAAACATAACTAAATTTTAATAAACTATGACTATGAGCAGTATTTAATCAGGCCTAGTTTGTAGTTTGCACTGAAATCATTCATACTACAATCACAAATCGAGCGACAGGAAAACTAAACAGGTGACTCTCGGGGTCTACAGGTATTTTGAATTTGATTGCCTCTCATTCAAAACCTTGAAAGCGACAGAAAATTTTCTTCTAGAAAAAATTGTATCCTTTCACCTTTCCTGCTCTCTAATCATCCTTCTCAGATAAGGGCAAAAAAATCTCGGAGGTAGCATCAAGATCCCTTGGTGGTCCTAAAATCGATAAGAGTAGGTAGACTTCGGTGCCTCCCAGGCAAAATTCAAAATTGTTAATTCCTTCCAAACTGAAAAAAATGGTTAGTTGATATGTGTCCCACATGTTCAAATGACTTTATGCACTTTTTGCAAGCGCCATAAAACACTATCCCCCCCCCCCAAAAATGAAACTCTAAGCATTTCTCTTTCAATTACAACTTCAAGGCCTACATTCAGAAAAAGAGAAAACGAAGTGACTATTCCGACTCGAGTCCAACTAAACAAGAATTTCGATTTGGACTTTGAATCAAGTCCAGCAAAACGCCACTTCCATTTTTTAAATTAGTTTTCAATATTCTGCAGTAGAAACGTGAGTAAAACCCCCGAGGAACGAAGGACAGAAAAAAGGTATGAATGTGTACCCCATAGATACCAGTGTATAGAGGCAAGTCCAAAACACACAATGAAAAAGGGGCCGATTAGGCAGAGTATAAATCGATAAATTTATTCAACCGAATATTACACCCAGATTTCACTATATATTTGGCAAAAATTACCTTATTCCTAAATATTTCCAGCATTTACAAACTAGTCCTCCCTGCATCATAAGTTAATATGAACAGAACAACCAAGTTGAGTTGACCTTTCCGGGGGCAACATTAAATATGTCGACCAATACAATATGGTTCAATCGGTCCCAAAAATGTCCGCAGTAAATATTTATATACAGTAGTCTCCGCCTAAGATCCCGGTGCTCGGGAGCAAGGAAATGCGGGATCTTAGGCGAACCGGGATCTTAACTGACGAACCCAGGGAAGAATCTATGGTGAACCATGTTAAGGCTCAATAACGGTAAAATGGTCTCCCTCCACTCTACAATGAACTGACGTTCCCTTTTGGTGGCTTTATGGCGTATGGCGAGCAAAGAGTGGTTAACGTTGATGACCTATCACAGTGCATAGTGGCATGAGTCGTGCCATTTCCACTTATTATCCTATCATGAGTCTCAGGATCTACGATTATCCAATTGCCCCTCCTCCTTACCTGTCAAAAACATCCTCTTCTCTCTTGTTGGCTTAAAACACCCCCCCCCACCCCCCTCCCTCCAAACCGCCTTTGTTGTTACACACCATTACGTCGGGGACACACCAATTAAAATTCAGTCTATCGCAAATTCGGGAGTAGAGACAACTGCTGCAATGGTCAAGGAAGAGTTCACGGTTCGATGTGATCCCGCCAGGAGCGAACTTGTAGGCCCTACCCACCCAGCGAGTGATGCAAGTTTAGGTGGCGAGCTCAGGTGTGAGTGCGATGCGTGGGGAAAACAAACGCGTCGGTCAGTTCACACCCCGGTGTGATCCCGTCGGGGGCAAACATCGTATCGCTTCATCGAGTTTTACTACGTGTATGTGATCACATTCACGACAGTGGCTGATCTTTGACGAGACGGACAGTTTATTGATCTCAACTTTTCACTCTTGGTTGATCGGCTGTGCCCGCCCGGGTTTTTGTTTAGCAAATTATGATCTGAAATGCGGGATCTTAGCCGAATGTAGACCATCAGAGCGGGATCTTAGGGGTGGCTTTTGTATAGTAAAAATTCTGTTTTCCTAAAACAACGGGATCTTAAGCGAACCGGGACCGTACGCGGTGGGATCTTAGGCGGAGACTACTGTATAAGAAATGCTACAGTTCCAAACAGTTTTTCGCTACAGATATATGACGTGTGGCCTATGAAGGGTGCTGCTCTAAACTTAATGTGCTGTGTTCACCCGTGTGCTGTCTAGATCTAGATCTAGATCCGAAGTGGCTAGCCGTACTTAAGTACGGCTAGACGGCTAGACTCTCCCGTACTTAAGTACGGCTAGACTGCCAGTCTATCCGTACTTAGACCTAGGTTTGGCCGTATCGACTCAAGCCTGTTAAGAACACAGGTCTCATTAGATCTAGATCTAGTAATTATTCCGGTTCAAATGCATGCAAGTCAGTAAGGCACCTTTTAGTTTTGTCTGAAATACAAATACTTTAGGCATTGCAAACTAAAAATTTCATTTACAATTCAGCCATCAATATTAAGTACGGCTAGCCTGAGAGTCTAGCCGTCCTTAATTACGGCTAGCCTGGCTGTCTACCCGTAAGTACGGCTAGATTTATTGTCTAGCCGTACTGCCAGTCTAGCCGTACTTATCTCAGGCCCTATATTAACATTAGTTAGAATACAGGAGGTTTAAAATACATGCACTGTCATTAAGGCACCTGGTTTCGTCTCAAATACAAATACTTTAGGTACTGCACACTGAAAATGTATATTTACAATGCAGTAGGCCTATTTTTTGTAAATGGTCAGTCTAGCCATCATATTAAGAATAAGTACGGCTAGACTCTTCCTAAATCAAAAGCTTCACTAAGTAATGACTAGATCTAGTCTAGCCGTCATTAAGTACGGCTAATAGCAATGCTAGATCTATCTGAGCTGGGCACTTTGTAGAGCTAAATCTAGGGCTGTTTAGAAAAGTGTTTGATTGGAAATATCACTCGGTGAGCCAAAGGCTTAGTCAACCGAGTGAGATTCCTATTATTATATTATTACCGACTAATGGCATTCACTAACAAATGAGTTATCAAACTTCAAACAAACTTAGATTTAGCTCTACAAAGGCCAGTAATGGCAATGCTTAATGCTAGGACTTGGC